CCCCTACCCCTCTGTGAATCTGTGATATCTCTCTGTCAAAGGACTGCATTGTAATTAATTGCTATGTCTAACTTGAAGAGTGTGAAAAGGAGCAAGGACCCATACACGTCGATCCATTAACACAGAGCCTTACTATGCTACCCTTACTCTCTGAAGGTGTCTTATCTCTGGATTTATCAACTTTTCCCCACTCCTCTGTTGTAGGATTACAACCAATACTGTGTGGTAGAAGAAGCCTATCAGAAAAGTGACGTTCTGGAGCAGTCGTCGCAAGGAACAATGTGCTTAGTCCCTGGCAAAACGAGAAAGTTCACTTTCAAATTTGTGACAAAAACTGAAGATGTAGGAAAGAAGGTCGAGGTTTGTCAGTTTGTTTTAATCCTTCCTTACTGCTGCTTACAAAGAGCTCATCTGGCACCAGTTACTAACATCGCTGCCGTTCCAAATGTTTAAATTCTTGAAACAAAGTACCAAAAATGGGAGTAAAATTTTATCGACAATGGCAAAGCAAAAAGTATTGCAAAAACTTACATATTGCTTCGAGTTTGGTTTTGGGTTTTTTTCATATTTGCAATACATTTAAAAAAAAAAAAGAGGGGGATGGGTGGTGTAGCACTAGGGAAGGTTGGAAAGTACGAAGTTCTTACAGTAGGTGACCCGAAGCCAAAGTTACTGGTACGTGTTTTAAACCTGTGTCTCTCAGATCACCTCTGTGGATTTGATCCTGGGAAGCGAATCTGGCCGATGCGTGATTCTGAACTGGCGCGGAGGAGGTGGAGACGCCGCTTCGTCTCAAGAAGCCTTGCAGGCAGCACGTTCCTTCAGGCGAAGGCCGAAGCTTCCGGATAACGAAGTGCACTGGGACAGTTTGACTGTTCAGGCAAGCACTATGTGAGTAAAAACTTGATGATGTGGATGGTGTATCGCTGTGAGGCTCCTGCGAAGGCCTGGTCACTGCCTGAAAGAAGAAAAACTTGTTGGGACCTCTTAATATGAGGTTTTTAATGTCTTTGCTTAACTGGGGATAGGAGATCCTAGTTTTTTAGGGCTTCTGAGGCTCCAAATACCCTGAAGTACAGAAAATGTTTGCAGTGATCTCTGAGCATACCAAGTACGCTTTAGTTCTCCCCTTCACTTCGCTTTGCTAGGCAGACTTCTCCCAGATTTTTGTGCAGATGAGGAGGTGTTACTGTTCTCTTATGAAAAGCCAGCACACAAGCAAAGGATCCCTAAGCAACCGATTTGGAAAATAAAGAGGCTATTGCTTTGCCGGGGCGGGGGGGGTCTTTTTTTCTTTCCTGGCAGAACATCTGAACCATTAATGCTTATTACTGGGGTTCCAGACTTTTTATAGAGTTGTTCCCATCACGTTGCTTTTTGGGAATCTCGCATCTCCTAGTTGAATAGGCCACCAGTTGTCAGAATCCTCTTAGACAATAGATGGTTTTAATCTCCTTTAAACTAGGCTTAAAACCTTGTTATTTAAGAAACATACAGTAACTGAGTCTTTTCTCTCACAGGATTATTTCCAGAGTGCCAAACATTTCTGTTCAGCTCCGTCATGAACCTCCTGCCCTGACCAATGAAATGTACTGTTTGATTGTGACAGTTCAGTCCCATGAGGAGACAGTGGCCAAAGACGTTAAGCTTACAGCAGGTTTAAAGCCAGGTATTTGGGGTTATTTTCTTTTAATCCAGCAGTCTCCTAATTGGCTCCTTGTTCTTGGTGCAATGCAGAGAAATATGATGAATGGCTCTCCTGCATTAATCAAGAGCCAAAACCAAGTGAAGGTTGGGAAGGATGAGATAGTAGTGATAAGAACAAGAGCCAAGAGGCACATTCTGTTATGGTTATCCTAACCCACTGCTGGTCAGTGTTTGCATTGTCACAAGAAGTCTTTAGAGCTTGAAAGAAAACACAGAAGCTTTTGTATTCCTTCCTAACCTTTTATTTAATTTACTTGTGACTAAGTTTTTCTTTTCCCAAGAGAGATCTTTATCTTTCGGAGATGAAAGCATTAGACAACACTAGATAAATGTTTTCTAAGTGTAGTCTTTTTGGGCTTTCACCCTGCTTTTTTTTTTTTCTCTGCCCTGGACAATGTGGTTTGTTTTTCAAACCACTTGAAATCTGTGGAGCGGTTGAGAACTGAGACACTATTCCTTCGAATGAAAAGGACAAAAATCCTGTATGTCCAAGTCCCGCTCAGCTGTATGTAGTTGTTGCTGACACTTTTCAGTCTGTGAAATCCAAATGTTATACTTGGTACACCTCTTGTAGCAATTACCCTAAAAGGCAGAAATGTGTTTAAGCCGCCGGCACGTAGGATGCAATACGTGCTGCGCACTCTGAAACAGAACCACGTTCCCTTTACAGTTGCACGGTTCATTAAAGACGGTGGAGTGTTCTTTCAACTTACTTAATTGGATGTTTGGGCTTGACTCCTAAAGTAGTGTTTAATAGTTGGTCTTGACAAGGTCAGTGTGGGCTTGCTGATTACGTTAAAAGAACAGTTGAAATTTGACATTTCCTTTATGGGGAAAAGTGATATATATTTTTCCACAGTTGCAGCTCTTTGGCAAGATGTGAGTTATTTTGCTTTGAAAATGATCCCATGATTGCAGTAATGCCGTTATTCTAGTTAACCTCTGGGTGAAGAATGATGCTATTTAACATCTGTACATTTGTTTATAAATATTTTCAATGCAGATTTGGAGAACCAGTTTTAAAAAGACATAAAATCATTAAGTCATTCTCTTGAAAACAGAGGAATGAAACTTCCTTTTTATTTCACATACAGTACCAAGAAAAACTTGGCTTACATAATCATGTGTTTTGTGTATGGTAGGGAACATCTAGCTACCATTTCTGATTTTTGAGATGTTTGGGGTTGTTTTTACCCCTGCCCTAAATACACGAAACAAACCTTGCAGAATGTGAACCCTCCAGCTTAGAATACTTAAGGTGTTGTCCAATCTAACCTCTGCTGGTACTTTTGAATGATTCCCTCCACCAAAAGAACAATGTTAATTCCTCATGCATTGCTTTTTGAGATTAATATCTTATTATTTTCGGTTACTGCTTTCACACTTCAGTCATATAAGCCTGCGTGGATATAAAGTCTGGTTTTAATCCTAGGGCAAGATGCCAACCTGACTCAGAAAACTCAGGTGACTCTTCATGGAACAGACGCATGTGATGACTCCTTTCCTGCACTGCTTCCCGATATCCCTGTAGGAGACCTGCAACCGGGGGAAAAGGTGAAGGCTTAAAACATTCTTTCTGTATCACACTTAAGAAAACAGGGACCAACTAATAAAAGACTCTCATAGAAGGAGAGTGGTTACCCTATGTTTACTTTTAATTTATCAGTTCAGATATCCCAATATGGCACATTTTACCTCTTGTTTACTTGTAGTTCAATATTTCTTTAGCTAGATCCCCTTTTGGACCAAATTTGGGAATAAAGTATATTCTGAAATCGATGATACAGCTGAGAGATAAGAAATAAGGAGGCTGATCTCAGCTGTTAATTGAATGCACTGCTAATGGACCATAGATAATAGTGAGCAAGTGTGATTCCACATGGTGGAGGGTCAAACATGCAGATGTTGCACTAAACTGAAGTCGTGACTAGTGAGTTAGAAGTTGGGTATATCATATTATACAGCAATGGTTCTTTTCTTGCACTGTTAAGTAACTGTTGAGCATTACTAGAAGAGCAACTGGAGCTGTGCTACTCTGATTAAATCATTCACTGTGTGGTTAAGATCATGCATTGTAGGAGATTCATTCTGGTCAAAACAATACCCATTCTACTGTTGCCCTCTTGGACCAAGTGAGATGCTTAACAAGTTTTGGACAGCTCTAGGCCTAATTAATATAACTTAGGTATAGCTTGGCTCATACTGTCTCCTTTATTTTGCAGCTGGAAAAGCCAATATACATTCGTTGTGGAACAGTCGGTGCAAGAATGTTTCTGGTTTACGTTTCTTACTTAATCAACACCATGGTTGAGGGGAAAGAAATCCTCTGCAAGTGTCACCGGGTACGGGTGTTAAGGTGCACCAATTCCTGGGGGTACATTCATGAAATGCAGGAAATACTCTCAATCTAAAGGCTGTAATTCTGAGTCTCTTAGAAGCCTTTCTAGTAGATGTTTAAAAAAAAAAAACAAACTGCGCTAAATCAGCAGTATGGTAGCCCAATTTAGAGTGAGCAATTTTGTAAGTATAATGGGGAAAAAGTTCTATATTTATTCTTAAATATCTTCAAGTTACATTCTGCCCTGGAGAGAACATGGTTGAAGTGATTAGAAGTAACTTTAGTAACCTTTGACATCAATAGCCAGGTCTGAAACTGAATATAACTTCACCCCCTCCTCCTTCTCACCCCCTTCGTTATCTACACAGGATGAAACCGTAACCATAGAAACAGTATTTCCCTTTGATGTTGCTGTCAAATTTGTCTCCACAAAGGTACGTGTTTTGAGAAGTTATTGATATGTTGGAATCGCGCGGCTTTGAACCGCCGCGCGCTGTTCAGTCAGCAATAGCCAGAGCTTGTGTCTCTCTTGGCAGCTGGAGCACTTGGACAGAGTGTTTGCAGACATACCGTTTTTACTGATGACGGACATCCTGAGTGCCTCTCCTTGGCCTCTCACGATCGTAACCAGCCAGCTACAGCTCTCGGCCTCCATGACCCCAGTAGATCAGCTGGAATCCTACGTGGAGAATGGTAAGTTTCCTTAGACTGTGCTCTCTGTCAGGAGGGTACTTTTTCTGTGAGCTGGGGGTAAGAAAGGGGGGCGTTTCAAACAGCATTTGCTTATCAAACTCTAAATAGAAAAAAGCTGCTTAATACTATAGTTGCTTGCCAGAACACAGCTTAGACAGCAGTATGCATCAAAAGGTAGTTCTGCTTCACTAGGGCAAGTAAATAGGACTTGAATGATAGATGTCAACCAAAACTCTACATGTAACAGACATAAGGAAAGCACCGGAGTGCTTTTGATATGCAACTTCTTGGATATCCATATGAAAAGATAGTCAGTGTTTCAAGTGTTTATGGGTTATGTATGCTTTCTTTACCATGTGATAGAGGTAGCATCCAGAGGCTAAAGTGATCCATGTCCACGATTGCAGTCATAAAACTGAAAAATGTGAAGTTAGACAGGGTAGGCTGTAAAGAATGGTTAGAAGTAAGCATCTTGGTTCTTATACTAGCACAGTTTAATAACTTTAATGTTAAAAACCCTACCTTGTTTATGGGTTATGTATGCTTTCTTTACCATGTGATAGAGGTAGCATCCAGAGGCTAAAGTGATCCATGTCCACGATTGCAGTCATAAAACTGAAAAATGTGAAGTTAGACAGGGTAGGCTGTAAAGAATGGTTAGAAGTAAGCATCTTGGTTCTTATACTAGCACAGTTTAATAACTTTAATGTTAAAAACCCTACCTTGCAGTTCTCACTTATACTAGCACAGTTTAATAACTTATTACTTTAATGTTAAAAACCCTACCTTACAGTTCTCAACCTTTAAGAATGCAGTATGTTAGCTTTTTAAAGTCAAGTAAATAGAGTACTTGGCAGTAGAGCTGATCCAGAATCCTCCAACAAAGCATTGTTTCTGCATTTGCTGGGTCAGAGATGTGAAAATGTATGTATTCCATCAAAACTGGGAATAAAATAAGACAGTCTGGATGGCTGCCCGATTGTGGGGCAGCTGTCCACCCATGTAATCAAGGACTTGCAAGGCTCTAGTTCCTCTGTAGATTCAAGGATTACCTGGAAAAAAGCAGTTATTTCCCAGGTCCTTTAGTCCTCAGACACTGAGATTTCGTCTTCGGCTCTGACCTGTTTGCTTCATGGCTCTGGTGGATGCTCCTAAAGAGCTAACTGCCAGGACATATGAACCCCCTCGGATACCAGCTCTACAGCTGTCCACTTTGCAGTTGGGGGTTTTGGTTTTTCTTTTAAGACTTAATAAATATTAGTGATGAATTCTGAATGACTGAAACATCTATTTTTGTCATACTTTTTTTAAAAATCAGTCTCTAAATAAAAAGGTACCTTTTTTATAGTTTATTCAAGTGGAGATTTAAATAAACAAACAAACAAAAAACACAAAGCCAGTAGATTTTTCTTATGTTCCCTCCCTTCCCCACCTCATCCATTTGGGTGGGAGAGAAGAAATGTCCATGTTCATTTTCATTTTAAAACATGAGACGCGGCTTATGTTGATGCCTTGAAATGTGCTGTGGGAGAAGCATAGAATTTGAATTGCTGTTGTTTTGCCTTTCTTGTGTACGAACTCTAAACTTACAGTGACTTGTTCTGGGTGTACAAGAAAGATGTCATACTGCTGTTCAGAAACTAAACTGCCCTATACTTGGGCGTGTCACCCTTTCACGTGTTGGGTGACTTCGCAATCTTTATTGAATTTATATATTAAGTAGGTATACTTTGCCAAGCTCTTCAAAGGTCTTTCTGGCTGAACACTTCTGTTGGTGTCACGGTTGGATGTTTAGACTTGGTGCCTTCTGCAGGAATGATTACCTTTTGATTTTAAACAAAGTCTTGCTGATAGTTGTTTTACAGACAGGTGAGAGTGCCAGTGAGTGCTTTTGCCTTCGATGTCCTCCGGTTACTAATGCTAGTGGAGTGGCAACGGGATGTTACATCATCTCCTGGAAGAGGTACGTATTTCTCGGCCTGGGTGGGGAGAAGAAACAAGTTAGTTTTGGTTTTAAGAATGATGGTGAGTTATGGGGGTGGGGGTTTGGGTCTTTGTTTGGGTCTTCCTGTAGCAAGCACTGTCTAGAATTTAGACCTTACTAATTACTGCTTAGCTTGTTAGACTTTTGATTAAATACATATTTCACTTAAGAGAGAAATATTACGTGGTTATGGTTTTAACCTTCCGTGAAGCTTTCTTCTTTGTAAGAACTTAAGTGAGTTACAAAGCTGTTCTGTCACCTTCCACGCCCTGTTTTCTCCAATCACGAAATGCTTCCCTTGAGAAGCCAAGTCAAAGGAATAGTTTTGTGATAGTAGAAACAAACTAACTTTGAAAACTGAATGAATACATAAACCCACAATCCAGGCTGGGAAAACAGTTAGTTTTCCCATGTTAAAAGACAAATGTTGTGGTCTATCTTTCTTCTAGTTTGCAGTTTTAGAGCGGGTTAGTTTTCTTACTTGCCCTTTGATATTTTGTCTCTGTGCTATGGCTCTGTTTTTGCTCACTTCAAACAACCCAATACAAGGATTTGGGTGCTTTCTTTCCACCGTTGGAATGACTATGGTTTTGGTGTAGTCACATATAAGTGATGTTTTTCTGATGTACTTCTTGTTACGTAACTTTCAACGTGATCTGCATTTGACTCTTCCCTGCAGAAGTTCCCCTGTGGAAAGCGTACCTGTTGTTAGCACAGTCATCACTCTGCCCCACGTGATTGTAGAGAGCATTCCCCTCCATGTTAATGCAGGTAACATTCATTTGCCATCATATATGTCCCGATTTTAAATTTTTAGGACTGCCAAAGTTTTACAGCATCTAGAGTTTGCATTTACTGTAGCAAAAGACAGGAAACTGGTGCTGGATGTTGTGGAGCTAATGAAAGAAACCGTATCCTGGCTTAGACTGCCTCAAGCATTGCCCTTTCCCCCTTCAGTTCAAGGGAAGAGCTGGAAGGCAGTTACAGGGAAAGCGTTCTCTTAAAAGCTCTCAGTGGACTGACCTGTGTTACGTGGCAGCACAGAGGACAGAATTGCCTCTGCTGATGCTGCCTTCCCAGGAGGTTTCTTTAGATACCTATGGTGAGAATTGTTCCACCCACCCACGCCCTGGCTGCATCCCAGGAAAGAAAGAGCCTGGAGCATTGGAGCTGCTTGCGGGCAGGTGAACTGTGTCTCTTCTAGCACCTGATGTGCACAAGAGCAGAGGGGGAGTGGGATGCTCACTGAAAACACACAATTCCTCTGCTTTCCTCAGTTTGGTTTCATTTGTACTGAGATTCTTCCACCACCCTTTCCTGTTACATTTCAAAAGAGCTTCCTGATGGTCTCTGTTAATGTTTTGGAAGGCTGAAAATAGCCAACAGCAAAGTGACTTCCTAGTTAGAATTCCTGAGCAGTGTCAGCAGTTGGGGGTTTTGTAACTAGGTGTTGAAGATTTACTGAGAAGTTGTAACGAAATTGTGTTCTGATCCTTGGTCTTTTTTTTTTTTTTTTTTAAATCTTGTCAGAAACGCTTTAGATACCCAGTTATTGTATGGTGTTTATTCTTCAAACTTTTCACTGCTATTTGATAGACTTATATTCTTTATCTATGGAACTTTAAAATGTTTGTTACTTGAGATCACTTTCTTTCCAAAGATCTGCCATCGTTTGGTCGTGTCCGAGAATCCCTACCTGTCAGATATCACCTGCAAAATAAGACCAACCTCGTCCAGGATGTGGAGGTGTCAGTGGAGCCCAGTGATGCCTTCATGTTCTCTGGACTTAAACAGGTAGGAAGCTGTCGCATCCGGTGATCCTGCTGCCTTCTCTGGTAGGGAAGAATCCATTGATTAGACCTACGCTCCCCCCAGAGAGGGCAAACTCACTGGTTTTGAGATGTTTCCAGTCGGGTAAATTCCGTCTGAAAGGATGGATGCAGACTCCATTTCAAGAAGGGCTAAAGGGAAGCCTGCTTAGGAGCAGTTTGCCATGTTGCTCATGGGTAACGTGGTGTTCCAGTATAGGTTCAACTAGAATGGGAAGGTAGTTGCATTCTTTCCAACCTCAGAATTTAAACAGCCTGTAAACAGAGGAGTGCATTGGTCACAGAGCTTATCCATGTTTGTGTCTTCTTTCTTGTCTTTTTTAAAGATCCGATTAAGAATCCTTCCTGGCACGCAGCAGGAAATGTTATATAACTTCTATCCTCTGATGGCTGGGTACCAGCAGTTACCATCTCTTCATGTGAACTTGCTGCGGTTCCCAAACTTCACCAATCAGTTGCTCAGACGATTCATACCGACGCACATTTTTGTAAAGGTAAGGCTCTGCGAAGCTCCTTGTGTCTGAAGGCCGTCTGTGGGGCTGCTCAGTTTTTGGGGGCGACCGCCCCAGCTCTCATCCAAGCCGCGTGTTTGTAAGCAGGCTAAAATGGCCAGTTTGTACCAGAGCCATTTGCTCTGAAAAGCCTTGGGCTGTGCGTTGGTGTCGACAACCAGCATCTTTAAGAAACCTGCTTAAGTGCAACGAGTGTTGGTTATGGTTAGATGAACTACCTGAACGTGCTTAGCCTGTCCCTGCTCTTCCATGGCTTTGTAAAACTAAAGCTTTTAAGTTTTCTGTGTTCTTTTTTTGATGAAGTGAGCTAAACGTAATCAAATACTGGTAATTTGCAGCACTTGTGGAAGAAGTGTTTGAGCAACTCCTATCACTTGGTGCAGAAGCACCGTAGCATCCCACGCCTCCTTAAATAACTCTTAAAAATCACATCTCAGTGAATCACTCGGTCTAGGGGTTTTTTTCCTAAGTGGTTCAACTCTGAAGGAAATTCGTCGTGAAAAATACATCACAGGCTTCTCTTGACTTTTTAAGAATCCTTTCAATCCAGTTGCCCAAACCCAGGCTTTCTCCTCGCACTGCTCCTCTCTACGGGATATCGTATTCCCTGGTTAGTCTGGCTCCTCGCAAGCAAGGAGCCTGAAGAGTTTACGTGCCTTGTGGTGGACTTGTTCAGACACGTGTAATCCTGTTTCCAGGAAACAGGCCTGGCTTTCTTTCCGTTTGGTTGTAGCCAAGAGATAGGCAGAACTTACCTTTTGCATACGCTGTCAATCAGTGGCTCTTCTACATTGGTTGTCAAGGTGTCTGCCTAAGTCAATACAAAAGGTGTTTTTTCCTCAAAAGCGGGGTGTTCTCACTGCTGCTGTGGAGTCTCTCAGGCTTCAGAATTCGTTGGAGTCCTCAGGACCTCAAAAAAAACCCCCACCAAACTTACTGGTTTTGGTTTGGGGGTACAAAACCTTATTGTGCCCAAGGGCCGAACTGACACTTCCGTTGGGTCATCCTGTGTGCAGCGCAAGGCGTCCCACCCGAGTTTCACAACAGCCTTAGTCTTCTGTGTTTTCTGGTTTAATTCTCTGTCTTTATTTTCTTTAAAGCCTCAGGGTCGTCGGGCAGACGACAACTCTATTGCAGCTGCATAACCGAGACCTGCACCGAAAGGAAACGGGATGTTGCACAGGATACGTGAAGTTCTCTTTGGAAATGTGTCTTTGATCGAATTATAAGAATTAAATTTTATTTTTAAATTAAAACTCTTAGCAAAACTAATGTTTAAAAAGAAAAAAAAACCTGGCAACCACCACCAACTACTCTTTTGTAGACTTTAAACACGGGGGGGGAGACTCGGTGCTTGATTGAACAGGAACGTTCTTTTGAAGTTAACTTTGAATGTCAGCCTCTTAAAAGTATTATGAGGGCATATTAAATGTCTTGAGTATTTAAGTGGAAAAAAAATGCTAATTCATTTGACCAAAACCAAAAAGCATTTTCATAATGAACAGCAAGCTGAAGTGCAGAGCTCCTACTTGCTGTCAGAGGTTCACAACAGTGATACTGGCCATCCTTTGTGGAAGTTTGCTCTGTGCCGCTTCATCGAGGGCAGAACTGGGTGTGCAGCAGCACAGTAAGCCCCGGGTGGGTACATTGTGCTCTTGGGGTTGAGCGGCTTACGAGTTCCTTAAAACCATAAATCTGAAAGGCACTAACTCTGCTGCGTAAGCCATACATCCAAACTGGAATTCGGCAGCTTGACTAATGAGCAGAGATTCATTCCGAGCAGTTGGACTATCTGACCTGAAGCTTGGATTGTTTTACACAGGCACGCAGCTTCCAGATGGGAGAGCTGCCTTGGTGGGGCTGCGGCGGGAACGGGGAAGATGGACATCCTACTGTTGTACAGCTCTGGATGAACTGGTGTTTGAAGTACAGTCAATCCTGCGTGTATATATATAAAAAAATGCATTGTGAAAACTTCCTTTGTTTAACTTTCTAAATAATTACCTTTTGATTGCTTGGGAAATACCTTATTTATTGTCAAAGTGAAGTTCTAATAAACAGCTTGTAACAGAGCACTTCTGACACCCTGTCCTTGATTGCAGTGTTTTCACAGCTGTTGTTTCCTAACTCCCGTCTGCCTTGTGGGCTGATGGATTCATTTATGGCACCGAACTCCAAAATAACAGCTGGGATGCTTGGAGAAAAGCATCAGAGAAGCAGGTAAACATTCCTTACCAGGCTGTAGGCTCATTGACAGTCCTGGAAAAGCATATACAGCTTTTCCATGGAGTGCAGCTCTAGTGACGCGGGGTTTCTCGGTGTATAGAGGAGGAAAAGATGACAGCTGACATACAACGCTGGAAAGAACAAACAAAACCTTCCTTACTCCGTGCTCAAATGTCAGGAACTAAGTGGCAGTCATGGAACAAGGATCTTATCTCTCTCTTTTAGGAATGGAAAATATATTTTGTTTCCAGCTATTTATTTATTTTTTTAAGTAGCCACTCGGGTTACAGCAGCTCTGGCACCTCTGTTCCTGCTTCTTAAAAGACATGTTGATGCATGTGGTGTAAGTGTTCGGTGGAGAACTGGGGTGCCTTTTTCTCCCTGCCCCAAAACAGTCCAACAGCAAAATCGTGATTTGCATTCCTGTGGGAAAGGGGAGAGCAGAAAATGCTTTCAAGGTTACAGTGATGTTAAAGTCTTATGTGAATTGTGTAAATGGGTTTCCACTTAAAATGGTGAGTAGTGAAAGTATACAAGACTGTGTAAAAATAATCCAGAAATAGAGAACTGCAACAATCTCGCACCGTAGGGGAAAAGAAATGACTTGCTACTTTGCCATAGTTGTGACTTCTCTTTTTTTTCACGCGCAGAGAGACTCTTTTTCTTGTTTTGTGTGATCTTCCTGTAGCTGTGAAGGCTCCAAAGCAAAGATCTTTCTGCCTGGGTTGTCTGCAAAGCGCAAGGCACGCCTTTTCTGCCTGTAAAGGACTGGTGTGGCTGAAAATCCGTAGCAAGCAGGAACCGCCTTGTTAAAAAGGGTTGAGAAGTGATTAACGATGACTAGCTGCCTGACTCATAAGGCCCTGATGCCGAGGGGAATGTTTGATTCATAACCCAAATCCCTCTGGAAGTCTGGAGGAGATGCAGAGGGCACGCACGTTTTGGTGTAAGTGCAGGTTTTTACCGTTTACTGTGTTTTGATGAGCACCATTCAAACTTCAACATATACTGCTTAAATGTAGTCTGTTTTAATTGGAACTAATTAAGCATCAGAGGAAAGAGAAGCTACTTTTAGACTGTTTTTAAACTCAGAGGGGGAAAAGTCTGACATCAACATGCTCAGACTGCTGCTGAGCCGGAGACTCGGCCCTAGCAGTGTCCTTCCCTGCCCTCTCATGCATGAGAGGGGAAGGACATGTCCCATCCCCTCGGATCTCCTGGCCTACAGTGAAGTCTGGAGCAAGGGAAGGCACTCCATCCCTTCAGTCATTGCTGCTGACCACTACCCTCTAGTAATAAGTAGTTCAGGAAAAGTGAAGGATTAAAAGAAAAATTTTAATTCCTCATTGATTTTTTAAGGTCTTGCATGAGTCTTCTCAGATCACTGAGTTACACCGGGCTTGTGGAGGGTCTACCAGCCTCCTTTTTTGCTTGTCCCAATGAACAGGATCTTTCTCTTCACACGTTCTCCGCCTTCACTTCGGAGGTTGGAAGTCGCTAGTTAATACTTAGACTAGGACTCTCCTTCAGGCTCAAGGTTGCCATGTGTAGAAGAAACCATCTCAGAAGTTCCTCGTCCCTTAGAGCTTCTCCTCCTTGGTGTCTTTTCAGTGGAGACGTTTAGGCCACCATGCACGTGGGTATCTTACCTGCAACCTACCTCCCAGTCCTCCAGGGTTGCTTACAAGAGGATGGAGACCTGTGCAGGACTTGTGACCAAGCGTGTTCAGGATGACTGTGTGGATTGCTTTGCATCCCTCAGCTTTCAGGGGACCAGGTGTGCCCTGACATCTGCTCCATGGGGCACTGAGGCAGCCTGTACGAGCCCAGTAGGTTTAGCCCATCGCCCCCCCTGCACTGGGTTGTAAAATAGTTCATGGCTATAACACTTCTTACCAGGGACGTGGTTGTTTGGGTTTTTTTGCCTGCGTTTAGGAGTTGCTAAAAAATACCTGATTCTGCTGGGACATTGGAAGCTGACCCACAACATTGGAAGGATATAGACTGGTTGGAGTGAGTCCAGAGGAGGTCACGAAGATGCTCCGAGGGCTGGAGCCCCTCTGCTATGGGGACAGGCTGGGAGAGTTGGGCTTGTTCAGCCTGGAGAAGAGAAGGCTCCGGGGAGACCTTAGAGCCCCTTCCAGTGCCTGAAGGGGCTACAAGGAAGCTGGGGGGGACTTTTTACAAGGGCCTGTAGTGACAGGACAAGGGGGAACGGGTTTAAATTGAAAGTGGGGAGGTTTAGATGGGATGTCAGGAAGAAGTTCTTCCCGGAGAGGGTGGAGAGTCACTGGGACAGGTTGTCCAGAGAAGCTGTGGATGCCCCATCCCTGGAGTGTTCAAGGCCAGGCTGGATGAGGCTTGGAGCAACCTGGTCTAGTGGAAGGTGTCCCTGCCCATGGCAGGGGGGTTGGAACTGGATGATCTCTAAGGTCCCTTCCAACCCAAACCATTCTGTGATTCTGTGACCTTCAGGCTGCGATTCAATTGTTCTTTCTAAAACTTTAACTGCTCGTTCTCCAGCAGGGTTTCTGCTTTAGAGCACGCACATACCTTCTCCCTGTAGATCACGTTGCAGGTAAATGTTTAGCTTTTCCGTCTTATTTGCGCTCTAGTAATTTCTGTAGGGTTTTGAATATTTTAAAGAAAAAGCTTGAACTTTCAAAGATTTTGGTTTCCCATACTTGATTTTTTTATTTTGGCCAACCAGCATTTAAATTATTCGTTTTCCAAACTATTTTAATAAGTAATTTTATGTGATATATTGAATCCAGATTGTTCTCACTGTGTAGCTGTTTTATGTGCCTACGTGTGTTTGTATACACGCCTGCATATGCCAGGAAAAGAAAGAAATCCCAGTAAACCAGCAACGCGTACCCAAACGAGGATAACGCCCCTCGCATCCCTGTTCCCTGTCCTGCACAGAAGATATTCCCTTAGCCTGCAGCACGGGATGAACTTAGCCTGATTTTTCTTCACCCTTTGATGTCATGATGCCACCTTAGCCATCTTCTTGCCACCCGGTTTTTGTGAGCAGTAGGAGTAGGGGTGGCTGCCGTGCAGCCTCAGCTGGGGTCTTCAAAATGCCTTGATTCACCCCTAAAAAGCGAGTGACAGCACAGAGCTGCTTCACAGCAGCCAGCCCCTCCTCCCTCCCAGAGTCACCACCTGTACGCCTGGCACAAGCGTGTATGTACACACACAGATCCTCTGTGTCCTTACCGACACCTGGCAATCCCAACCGCATCTCCGGACAGAGGTGCTCGCTACCAGCTTCCCCTTGGCCCTTGGAGCTGTGCTCTCTGTCACACAAGTGACAGAGCAAACAGCTCTCATAAATGTCAAAACATGTCCGGGAATCACCAAGGGAAAGAAGATTAGAAACGCACTCAAAAATATTACAATGCTTACTGTTTGGGGTTTTGTCAGGTGTTTGGTTTTTTTTTCTGTGGGCTGACATTAGGGTGCTAAACTGCAAAATAAAGGTATTTTAGTTTGGGTTTCAATTACCAGCCTCTTTATAACAAGGAAAACATTTCTCTACCTGCTACAAACGAGCCTGTTTGCTAGACCTAGCTGGGAGCTTGCAGAGAGGTCAGACAACTGTTATCTTTAATAAAGTCTTTCTCGGGATCACTGCACCTCCACTGAAGGCTTTTCTGTAGGGAACAGACAATTGCCCGCGTTAATTTATGTCCTTGAGGATACTCATCACCCGGAGTGGATTTGGACTTGAGGAGTTGTTAGTTCAAATACCCTTACAGCCCAGGAACGAAGGGGATGCGGATAAGAATGATTAATGAACTCAGTGGAGGAGTTCTTAGGTAGCGAGCAAGGAATGATCTTACACCCCCCGGCCAGGCACGCGCGAGTACACGGAGTAATTTTAACAGTGGGGTTTTCCTGTTTCCCGGGTGGG